TCGGATTCCCAGTTTAGTTCGAGGTCAGAAATCATCGTACCTGATCGTGGAGTGAGGTCCTCTACTTATGGGTGGTAGTCCCGCTAATCTCGCGACGGTTACACCCGGTAATCTCGGGACCGCCGGTTACACCCAGTAATCTCGGGACCGACGGTTACACCCGATAATCACGCCGCTGACAGTAGCTCACATTGGCCCCTACCGAGCTTCCCGGTAGATCGGACCTCGGCCAAGTTCACCTCGGCCCTCATACTTAGCATCTGTCAACGCTAGTGGTGGTGATCTCGACGGTCCGAGCTGGGGCATGACTCATGGGTCACCTTGGAGCACCAATGGCTGTCCTCCACGTGTCCAGGGTATTCTTTCCCCCAGACAACACCATTATTATATTTAAAAAAATCATATTTGTCTCAAACTTTTCTTTCTATAATGTTTTCTCCTCTCTAAAACATACTCTCCGTGTTCTCTAACAAATTTTTTTCCTCTCTATTTTTTTTGCTACGAAGAATGGAGATTCGAACCCACAATCTTACTAATTAAGATAAACTCGGGTTTAACTTCTTTTTAACTCTCTAACTTTTCTCTGTAAAAAAACTTTTCTCTATCTATATGAATTTACTCCCTCTAAAATTTCTCTATAAAAAAAATATCTCTACTCACTTAGGTTGTTATCTAAAATTTCTCTCTAACTTTTTTCTATAAAAGAATTCTATGTGTGTACATTTTTATTTCCCCTGCCTCTGCACATTTTCCTCTCCCTAACATATTTCTCAATCTCTTTAACATTTTAGAAAATAAAAAACAATTAATTTATGTTTATTTTTTCTATTTCTTAAAAATCAAGAAATAATTATTAAATATGTCGATAGTAGAATCAAAGACATCTATATCTTTGTTAATACATAATAATATTTTGGGTAAACAAATCTCTGTCGTGAGGATTTATGTGTCTAAATCTGTGTCCAAAGTAAAGTGGATAATATCATACCATTATAAAAATTATGAAGAAACGATGTATGTTGTCCTAATTAACAAGTGGCATCAATGTCGTACTCGTGAGTTAGTTGAATCATTGAGTGTCAGAGAGATGCGATCGTATGAGGAATTGTGGATGAATCATTAAATGTCAACACAAAGCTGTGTGACTCGAAGAGAAGATCGTTAAATGGATGGTGTGCTCCAGAGAGAAAAATGTGTTGGCATAAATAAGAACAAGGCTCTCGATAGTATCATGAATGGACCGATGGATACTTATTTGAAAGAAACTACTTATTTGGTGCATTCACATATGTAAATTTTAAGAATCCTCAATGGTAAAGAACTAAATTGAAAATTAATGTTAAAACATAAGGATTGGGGAACTATAAATTATCTATTAAATACAAAATTCATAATAATTTCCCAGTCAAAGGGGAGGATGAATTAATTAAACATTTGGAAAAGAAGAATAAAAAAAATCGAAAATTAGAATTAAGGTTCCCAATTAAACAAATTTGGGCGAAATAAATTGAAAAAGGAATTAAATTAATATTATCAGATTCATTTCATACAAAGCAAGAGAAACCCTAAAGCCTCTTGCAAACCTCCTTCATCAAATCGGGATTGGCCCTCTGGAAATCGCAGAGTTCTTCGAGCGAAATGTAGCCGTCGCCGTCCTTGTCGATCTCCGACATCCGCCGCCGGACCTCCTCCGGCGAGGAGGAGCCGAGGGCGCTGAGAGCGCTCTCAAGCTCCGACAGCGAGATCTGGCCGTCGCCGTTGCTGTCGAAGCGGTTGAAGATTCGCTCGCATTCCGCCCTGTTTCGCCCATCGTCCGCCATTCTTTTTCTTTTTCTTTTTCTTCGACAGATCTTTGAATCCAAATAGTTTGGATTGGATTGGATTTGTAATGCTGAGATGTGGTAAACAGAATCGCCTCTCCAATCGCTTTCTTCACCACGTATACATGTGCTAAAATGCTGCAATTTTTTCCTCTCGGTCTCTTGCAAAAATGGTTAAAATCTTTCTTGTGTTGCCTCTCACAACTTTCTAAACATTTTCATTTTTTAGCTCGCCAAATGTTTGATTCGAAAAATTATCAAAGACTGCGAAGCTCGTATTAGGGAAAAGTTGGGAGCTCAAGTCAAACACTTATCCCTACGAAAGATCATAGTTTCGCGTACCTAGAAAATGAGGCAAAGATATATACACTCTATTCACGTGGATGTAAAATTTTGTAAATAGATCGAGACTATGATCATTACTTATAAATCACCGATGTTCTTATTTGTTCATAGAACGGCCTAACCACTTCTTGTACTCGAAAAGTAATCTAAAAAATAGACAATATATTTAAAAGTAATGTTTTGAGATCAATTTGGTTAATGTATCTTTGTGCATGAAAATTTGTTTTGGTGCACACAACCATGATAATTAAATTACTATTTAAAATTTCACTAGTCTTATGCCATATTCGAGATAGATTGAACTGCTATCTTTCTTGTGCAAATTTGTTATTCTCATTTGAATGATTTTGTTTGTGTTCCTTCGTCTCCTTGGTATTTATATTGATATTTTTAGAGATGACATATGTTTAGGAAAGGTTAATACGAAATGTGAATTTTGTATTTGTTTTAAATAATATTGATTCTCCCTATTGATTTTTATTGTTTATTGTTGTGGGTTTTTTCAAGTGCATAGTGAGTATGTTGCTCAAAAAATTTAAGTTCGATAAAGTGAAAATTGCAAAAACTCCCCTGAGAACATTCACTAAGATAAATGTAAAAAGGTTAAATGTGTAGAGGTAGAAGCTTACGGAGATATGATCGAAATTACTATACCCCTCTTATTCATATTATTTATCTATTTAGGGGAGTAGTTATCTATGAAAAAAAAATTATCTTAGAATTTCTAATTTACGACGTCTCTTAATTAATTCTGCATCGTGATGGGTGGTTGCTTTAAAAGTGACAACTTTCATGTCTTTATTAAGAAAAATGAATAAATTTGTGAGATATTTGGTTCCAATTAAATTTACGCATGTCTTAATTGTGTTTCATGTTATCTCACACACCATTTGGATTTCATTTTTTCTTGAATGGTTTATCATCATAAAAAATGGTGAGATTGTTAGCTTTTTATGCCTTAATATCGATTAATTAATTAATGTTTTAATGATAACAGACACACTTAGTATTAGGTATTTTTAGTGTGCCAGAATTATTGCTGTAAAACATAAATTTCTTTAGGAGCTTCAGTCATATTATATAATTTATTGATAACACTTCTTTAATTTAATAATGATTTTTGTGTTATGAGATTTTTATTGCATATAGTTCAAAAACACGATTCCAACACCTCTTAAATCACTCAAATCGGAGTTGAAACGAATAAGTTCAAAAATAAGTAATTGAAAGGAAAAAAACCAACTAGTTAGTGGATGACGGTAGATGTGGAATCAACCGAGCAAACCAATAAACCCGGTTGAGAAATTTAAAAAAATTAAGGCCCTGTTTACTTTCCCGCAGTCGTAATCAATGAATCATAATGAAAACTTTAATTCCCATTGATGGTGTTTACCAAATTGTAGGAATGTAATCAAATAGTTGAACTCACCTCAAACTTTATAATCCCTTAAGTAATCTCATTACACCCCTACAATCCCATCAATCTCATTCCCATTCTTTATTCCATGGACCCCATATATATTATAATTAATGTACCATCTTTACCATTTCTCTCTCATCTATGGATTAAATCTATATAATTTTTAATTAGTTCTTTTTAAACTTTTATAATTTCTTCTCCCTTTATACTCTCATTTTTATTAGTTGATGTGATTTTATTATATAATATAATAAATTAATATTATTTAATATCAATAAATTTTTTAAATAGATATTATTACTTTTAAATAGGAGAATAATAAAACTTGATAATATATTATATTAAAGTGGGGTTGTTCTAATAAAAAATATTTTATTAATACGTAATTTTATTTTAATTATTCATTGTATATTAATATTAGATAAATTGTTATAATAAATTTTTTTACTATCAATAATATAGTAATAAATTAATTTAAAATTTATTATTATTGTAATTTTAAAAATATTAGCACAATAATATATCTGTAATTAGTTAAAAAAGAGAAAGAGGTATATTAGTAATTGTTATATATCTAATTCTGATTCCGATTCCAGAAGTTTTAGTTAACAACATTAAACGAATACTAATTACAATTCCAGAAAATTTATAATAAACAACATCAATGGAATAACATTACGATTCCAATTGATTTTTCCATTATGATTGTGGATAGGTAAACGTGGCCTAAAAAGGAAAAAAAAAAGGGGGAAAAAGGGAAAGAAAATAAAGAGTAAACATTGAGGACATGGTTTCTTAAATTTAATGCAGCTAGATATTCGAGAGTTTTATTGTTGTTGTTATCATCATCATTATTATTTTCTAATTAATCTCTCCATTCATTTCTTATACATTTAAGATTCAATTCTCAAATTAATTTTGCTTCCAAATTACTTATATACAACCCAACCCAGCCCAAAATGATGGCCAACCCAACCCAACCCAACCTAAAAAATTCGGGTTGGGTCGGGTTGTAGCTATTGATGGGTTTTTCTTGTATGCTTCTTTTTTTTTTCTTGAGACCATCAAAAATGAGAGAGAGACAGAGAAGAAAAATTTGTCAATGAGATTGGCTTGGATGTTAATTCTTCCTCCCTAGAATAAAATGTTGTCAAGATGATGAGAGCAATTAGATATGAAACTAAGAGGAGACACATAAAAGAAGTAGACGCGAGAGAGAGTGCGAAAACAGAAGAAAAAAAATGGCAAAGAGAACCCAAGTAGAGGCGTCAGTCTGAAACTTACCTACTTCAAAAACGGGCGGCGGCGGTGGGGTGGCGAGGTGGTGGGACGACGACAGATGCAGCGGGAGGTGGGGTGGGAGGAGATGGTGCGGTGGCGGCGGCAGGAGGAAGGAGCTTCAAGTTCAAGCTTGGATGATGGATAAAAATGGAGGTGAGAGTTTGGTTGGGTAAATGGAGGAGATGAAGAGATTGGAAACTAGAGAGTAAGAAATGAAATCATAAATGGAAATGGATGGTTGAGATTAAAAGAAAATGGATGGTTGAGATTGAACCTAAAAAATAAAGTCTTGATTAATTATTATTATATATATATATGTAATATTTCTAATATAAATATAAATATATATATATATATTAAAAGAAAAAAATGATGTCGGGTTGGGTCGGGTCAACTCGAAATGTTCAAGGGTCAACCCGAGGCCCGACCCAACCCGATCGGGTTGGGATTTTTCCAACCCAACCCAACCTTCGTCGAGTTGTCAGATTTTTTGAACACGCCTAATATTTTCTCCCTAAAAATACTCTCAAATTCTTCCATTATTGATCTCATTCTAGCTTCAATTTTTCTTCCAATCTTTTGAGATATATATTTATCTTTTAGAGGTTTGTGTGCTTCTAATGTTATTTCTTATAGTCATTTAAAGGTTTTATTTTGTAAGATTTTTTTTACAAAAATTTATGAGTTAAATTTATATATCTGCTATTTGAGAGAGTTTGTGAGATTGTATTTTCAATTCCAAATCTTATAAGGGTTGATGTTGAGGTTGAAAAATAGTGTTGTATTGGTTTGATTATAAAATATGGAAATGATCGACTTTCTTCTTACCCCCATAAAAAGAAGCGTTGTACATGTTGACTCCTACTGTAGAAAGAGTCGGGTTCCTTAATATAATATATAAGAGGCGCTTAGGGAGTGTGTTAGTATTATGAGCTTTAATCAAACCATATGTTTTGATGGTAACAAGTTTTAATTTATTGATGTTTTTAGTGTTTCAAAGTGTCAATAGCGTAGAGCTCGTAAAGAAAAATCACATAAGTGGGAAGAAAAATCAAATGTGAAAATTGACATGAACATTTCAACCAATTAGAAGTTGTCATGGGCAGGTGACGTGACACTTTGCTAATGTGGCAAGTGATGTGACATTTAACAATCAAATAATGATGACGTGGCAATGATGTGGCAGTCACATGGCATTAGCAATTTTGCTTCGTGGTGGATGAATCATGTGGTGACAACATTTAAATAAATTCAGATTTAATAATTTAATAATTTTCTCTTTTATTTCCACAAACTTTCTTCATTTCCACATATCTCTCAATCTCCATGATCACTCTCATTTACCCTAAATTATTTCTCAATCTCCGCAATGTCAGGCAATCTCCAAAATTTTCTTTATTTCTTTTACTCGTCTATCTTATTTATCTGCATGATTCATTCTTTTTTACGCTAGATCCAATGACCAAATTTCATCCACGGAATTTTATTTAAAGTTATCAAATTCATCCTCCTCCACTCAATTATCAAAGCAAAAATCTTTATCTATTCAAATTCTCCTCTAAAATTTTTCAAAACTTTCATTACCTCCTACCTAAAAATTTGCCCATCTTTTTGTGAGGGATACATTATAGTGCAAAACTTGTGTATTTTCTTTGTGTTATTTGTATTATTTGTTTTCAATTTGGGTTTTGTAGTAAGGTGTGGATATATTATAAGAAAACAAAATTTATTAGTTGGATCATAAACCAGTAAAAGGAATTGTGAGATTTCTCTTTAGCCTAGGAAAGAAAATGGTCGATCAATTTAGTTCTCACCCGTAAAACGGTCGATATGTTGGGATAAACACTTAATTTTATTGACTAATTATCCCCTCTTGTGTGAGCCTAATAGGAAATAACAAGTAAAAATAATAATTCAAACAAGCACGGGACACAAGCAATTTTAACGTGGAAAAGCTCCCTCAATATGATGAGTAAAAAACCACGGACCGAAGTTAAAATCTCCACTATAATCAATAATGGGTACACCAAGTTCTCCCTAGCAACAACTAGAGGCATACAATAATAATATCTTGAGACAATAAATGATATGAACCAAGGAGCTACCGTTGTTATGCCTCATGGACCGATCACAAGATCGAGAGCTAGGAAACTTCAATAAGCTTTGCTACTTCGTGTCCAAGCATTCTTGAACTCGACAAGAGAAATAAAGGAAGATATGCAAGAAGTTAGA